ACAGGTGCACAGGAGTTCACAGGCCAACTATTATAGTTCACAATAACTAGCGAGAAAACCAGCAGAAAGTGCAAAATGCCCCCACTAAGCCAAACGGTGCCGTTCTTTCTACCAAAGATCGACTATTTCTCGTCTCTATAGCGCTCGGTTCGATTACGGATCGAAGGATTCCTGGTACACGCTTGTCGTAAGCATCTTCTTGCGGTGGCACCCACGTTGGCTTGTTTGTTTATGTCAAACCGAAAAACCGCAGGGTCAGGAAGGTGTCAAGCACCGATAGGGTTCTGTTTGCGTCAGATAAAGAAAGCGACAAGCACGAGTGGGTTTGAAGCCCTGCTAGAAGCCTGTTTACGTCAGATATGGGAGACCTCAATGATAGGGAAGTGTCACAAACCAAAGAGCAGCACAAACCAGTGCCCAAGACGACGGCACTTTGAAATTTCAAACCGGAATCTTATCAAAGTGGAACCTGGAATCAGTGGCTTTTGTGGGAAGCGAACTTAAGGACCTTCGATGTCGGAAATCTCCAGTAAATAGTGACGGAACGGTGAAAGGCAGCGCCCGCGTTCATTTGATGTTCCTACGCCCTCCTTAGATATCGTAGCTTTGTCGACAAGGGTGGAGGATGTACTAATTTCGCAGCTCAAAAGTACGAGAGGATGGGGCCACCCGCTTGTGAAGAGGATGCCGCCCCGCCCACCTGGCTGCCATAACTGCTTTGGCTTAGCCTTTAAAGGCTGAGCCCGCTTTCAAGAATAATGAGTTATGGAGCTCATATAATACGTGATCCAGTAGTGAAGAAAAAAGCAGAAAAAATCATGGAAAATGCCCTAATAGAACCCTATGCTGGTCAGGTGGGCGGGGCGGTCTCCCTTCACAAGCGAACGGCGCTATCCTCTCGCCTTTTTGAGATGCAAAACTAGTACATACTGCATCCTCATAGGGAGGGCTATGATATCCAGAGAGGGCGCGGGAACATCAAATGAACGTGGGCGCTGCCTTTAAAGCCGTAGCAAAAACTAATCTAAAGGGGAAATTTGATCTGAAACCGTTCGGCGAAGTTCGGCTTGGTGTGGGCACCAAATGGCACAGAGCAAAGCATGTCGGGCTTGTAAATACTAATTCCTTCATTTACCTCTACCTTTTTGCAGCTTCACAAGAATTCACAAGAATAAGCGCCGCACATATGATTTGATGTGGTTCAATGAAAACAAATTTAAACAAGTTACAGGGAAGGTCGGGTTGGGGCGGGCAGGGCCAATAAAATACTACGGTCTCTATGGCACCCTGGGCGGCCTGGCGAGATCCAGGAATCGGTCCCTGGTGGCTAAAAGCGTCCTATAGATCCTACAAGATATTAGGCTTTTAAAGTCTGGAAGGACGTATAGAAGGGATAAACCAACGGAGTCGGACTTTAATTTGATGGCGAGACGAGTACTTTGCTAAGAGGCTTGGCGCGTCATCCCTGGACTAAAGCGCCGGAGGCATAAACACCCGCGACTTGGGGATCAGAAGGGCGCAAATCATGCGTGGGAGTAAAAAAGTGTCTAGAGAATGCTGCTTCAAGGGACAATATCCAATTTTATCAATAAAAAAAGCAGAGTTTCAGGTAGTGGGTTTAAAAGTCGCGCTTTCCCGCCAAGCTTGAAACTAAGTTTCATTTCTGGAAGTTTACAACCCTTTAAACATTTTGGCATTACAAGGAATTTTGAAAATTCCCCTTTTGGGAAGTCCAACTACTCAAAAATTTTTTCTCAGGACCATAATATTCCGATTATTTTCAGGGAAGTACTGGTGGAATGATCCGTATGTGCTAACCGGTATGGCCCACAACCCCTTACGTTCCAACATGGGTTCCAAGGTAACTTATTCACCCATACTATATTGTAAAGCAGCTTTTCTATGTCTTTGTAGGGACAGACTGGCAATTTCCGGCATAGTTGCGGTAGCTTGCAATTTCCAGGAAAAGGGTTTGAGGGGCATGTCTCGGGGCCTTCGCCCCTCACATATTCCTACTTTTCAGGCGTCAGAAAAGCCTCCCACTCCGGAACGGCACCTCCGTCCTCTTGAAAATTGGAAGCTACCGTATCCTACGAAAAATTGCGGACTGATTTCCAATAGGGCACAGTAGGCAGTTCGGCTTGGTGGGGCACTAAATGGTTCTCAGTGAAGCCTGTACGGTTTCATCTTATCAAGACCTGTGAATTCTTGTAACCGTAGTGGCTCATCTACATCACTTCGCAAGAGTTCACATGTCGTACCAAGAAGGAACCAGAGAAAATGCAAAAATGCCCCTTCCAAGCCGAACAGCGTCGAAAAATCTTCCAAGGAAGTACCAACCATTCACCAATCATTCCAGGACGGCAAAGAGATCGTTTCTGAAGGTCCTGACGGTGGAACCGTGATCTTTACCGACGAACGAGGCATTCATCACCTAGTGCTGCTCAATGTGTACGTACCGCAGTAATCACTCTCTTTCGGTACCAAAGTTCCTAATCGCTGGATGTTTTAGAGGTCCCAAGGACGAAGGCGAATACTCACTAGAGGCCACTAACAAGCTGGGCTCGGCTAAAACCGAAGGTGCTCTGAGTATCATTCGACCACGACAGGTTGAAGGTTACGGTCCTGACGAGAGGTATGGAAAAAACTTGGCCAAAAAAAAACTGAAGGGATAAGCCACGGGTTTCAGGGGTGGCATGCCGTTCCCACCAGGATTTGTACGGCAATTGAAGAACAAGCACGTGTTCACCCGTATGCCAACAATCTTTGACTGTTTGGTGGTCGGATACCCGGCACCAGAAGTTGAATGGCTTCATAACGGCAAGAAAATCGTTCCTGGAGGACGAGTGAAGATCCAGGTCTGTCACGTTCTGTACTGCAATCACATTTATTCGAGCGTTCAAGGCACAGTCCACACTGAGTTGTGGGCGGAGTCGGGCCTTTCGTCGCGTCTGTCTTGATTCTTGATTTTCAGTCCTGTGGAGGCGGATCACACGCGTTGATTGTACTTGACACCACTGTCGACGATGCTGGAGAATATGTAGCTGTCGCGAGAAATTGCCACGGTTCAGCCAGTTCGTCTGCTGTCCTTGACGTCACCGGTATGTATGACCATTTCTTTCATTTTTAGTCCTAAATCCACCCTCTCATAGAGTCATGCATGAAATTATCTCATTTCTAAGAGCGTTAGAGGCCTAGTACACACAATGCGTGGGCGGAGTCGAGCCCCTCTCTGCTCGTTCTCATTGGTGCGCTTCCCCGCCAAAGCGGTGAAGAGGAGGGCACGCCAATGAGAGAGGCAGGAGGGTAGGCCTGACCCCGCTTCTATAGCTAGGATGGGCTATTCCTTGAAGTGTGGTTCGACTTACATCCTTCAGTTCCTCATCTTGACAACATCAAATTCAATGGAGAAATCGATGTGACACCGTATTTGACGGAAGAATATGGTTTCAAGAAACTCAACTATGCCAGTAAGTTGCAAACACTTTTTGTTCAATTGAGCTCGAGCTTAATGTTCAGTTGAGCTGGAGCTCGAACTCAATGTTCCAGCTCCAAGAACTAGTGAGCTTGCTGCACACGCCACTACATTGGTCAATTCGAACGTTATCACATCTTTGGGTGATCTAGTCCCTCCTCATTGCAGGAGTTTGTTGACTTCGCTAACCCACCCTCTCCCCTTATGTCGACACTGAGGAGGTAAGGCAGGGAGGGGCGATAGGTGAAAGTCGATGACTGAGCTCTTTAGATTGGGCGGAGTTGGTGATTAAAGGCTGAGGAGGGGGGAGATCGTACTCAAGGACCTACTTTCCACAGCGTCATGATGTGCCCTTACCCCCTATGGCCCTGTATCTTGACGAATTTTTTGGTGATGGGAGTTTGCCTAATTGTGAGGGTTATCAGGCTCCTCCTCCTGTTCTTCTATAGACTTCTAAGAACCAGAAGGAGATGCGGTGACTCCTGCAGGGCGGTGTAGGAGACGAGGAATGAGCCCTTCTGCAGCATGTACAATTATTGATTGTTTTTTCAACGCCAGATCAGTCACCGCTGTTTAGAAAACGGGCAATCGAGAGTGCGGCTCCTTCGCTGCCATCTTGACACCAGCCGCTGGAATGATACACCTTTTGGACTAAACGGCGCCTTTTTCAGGTCTGCCAACACCACCAGATCGTGGTCCATTCATCAAGGAAGTCACCGGTCACTACCTCACACTCTCATGGATCCCCACAAAACGGGCACCACCTCGCTATCCTCAAGTATCCTATGTCATCGCGATTGTGACTTCCTGAGAGGAATGGACTTTGTGTGGTTCCGATGCTTGAGGTTTCTTATTGACGGGTCAAATAGTGTGCTCTGTCTGCATTACAGGGCGCTAAACACGTGCTTTTGATGTTTAGACTTGAAGCTACAACATTCCTGAACCAGTATGTAAAGTACGAAATCTTGAATTGGGCAAATCGTATCAGTTCCGTGTCCGAGCCGAGAACATCTACGGAATTTCCGATCCATCGCCGGCCTCTTCCACCATGCAGGTTGCTTTGTCTTCCCTGAACTCTGGTCGGCTCGCATACAGTCGTTATCACTTCTAACTATTGGTATTCAGGTTAATGGCACCACCACAGCCGGTTCTTGACAAGAACAAGAAGATCATTCCATTGCTCGATCCCTATGCAGAGAAAGCTCTCGATCTTGCCCATGCCGAACAATATGGTGAGTTTCTTTTCAAGTCATTTGAGTTATTACTTGATTTGATGTGTTATGTGTAATAGCGTAATGCTGTTTTGTCGGCGAGGAGCGAGGTATAATTTTCCAGAAAAAGTCTGGGGAAAAATGGGTCTCCGCTGATCTGAGCCTGGACTTAAAGACGCTTTTCAGGTAGTGGATGGGCGGGGACTGCCTGGAGTACGTTCTCACTGGTGCGCTCCGAGTATGTGGCGATCCAATCGTTGGACTCTGCTAGGTCGCCGTGTTGGTGGGCGTGACTGACAACGCCGCAGCCGTCGCGTACGAGTTGTGCTGCCTTGTGGCTAGCTCAGAATGTTGAAGGGATCACGGAAAGACGCCCCTACGACAACTTATGGATATGGTGACGCAACTCTGAAATTGCCGCGCCACTCGCAGCGCGCGACGTGAGCGGCGTGACCTGACTACCTCGCGATAGAATCGCCTGTCTTCGTTGACTCCTTCTAGTACGCCATCAAAGTCAAGTCGAAGGCGCCTTAGGGGTTTCCGATTCCCGCGGAATGTGTCTTTAAGTCCACAACGAAGGGTTTTAGATCTTCGGTAGGAGGCGTGACTGTCACCGTAATTATATTTCACTGTTCTATTCTTGTGCCCTCCTACAGGATCCTCGTCAAAAGACCAGGTTGTTCACATTTATCCCTTATTTATTCCTTTTCAGCCTGCGCGCCATGGTTTGCCCCTGGAGTCATCGAAAAGCGCTATTGTGCTGAGAACGATACACTCACGATAACGCTGAACGTTGTTGGTTATCCGGATCCTGAGATCAAGTGGAAATTCCGAGGTACAGCCCGCATCGATTTCCTTTTCTGCCTGTTTTTGCCTTTGATCGATTATTGATTGGCCTGATTACAGGATGGGACATCGATTCCAAGAGCCCTACATCACAATACAAAGTCTACACGATTGGAGGCACGGAGACCACATTGATGATAAACGCCTTCACAAAGGTCAGCAATCGATTTATTGATCTGTGTGGTAATTTGCCCATAAAATGCTTTTTAAGGAAAATGTCGGCCAATATCAGTGCTTTGCGACCAATTCTTACGGTGAAGCTCAACAAAACATCATGGTCGATCTAGCCGGTAAGTTTGCTAACTAATTCGCGCCGTTACATTTTGGTGTCCCAGAAATATGGCCTGAAAAGATCGACTTAACGCGATTTTGCAGTTCGTCCGAGTTTCATTCAACCACTCTATAATCGAACGTTCTCCGATGCCCAACCAGTGCGACTGGACGTCCGTGTCGAAGGACAACCGTTCCCGGAGCTCAAGTGGATGAAGGTATTTGTAACATTTTTTATTTTTTCTGTGCAAATCTGTGGAAAACCCCCTTCTACAATAGATAGGGATTTTCATGCGGCTAAAATTTATTATTTTAGTCTGAGAATTTGAAGGTGGAAATACTTTTATTCTTCTGCTATGTCTCTGTTTCAGGAATGGCGCCCAATTGTCGAATCAACCCGAGTGAAATTCGTTCAAGACGGTCCATACCTATGCTCGTTGATCATCTCCGATCCCATGTGGCGAGACAGTGGCATCTACACCTGTATAGCCGTAAATGACGCCGGTCAAGCGACCACCTCGTGCTCGATTACTGTAGAAGGTACTCGATTACTGGACGACGATCCTCACCGTTAGATATAATTTTTGCCTCTGAAATAAATAGCAAATGAATCGAGGAAAGTGAACCAAAGA